GCAAAGGAGGTGGGACAGCGTGAAGGGCTGCCTTTTGGGTGCCATCACCCTGTTTCTCTGGATTTTGGGGCTGGGGCAGGCAGGAGGGGAGCCAGAAGAGGTTTAAAGCAGTAGGAGAAGAGGGATGAGAAGAGCACTCATTTAGCCCAAAAGAGAAGAGGGGAAATTCTTCCTTATCATGGTGAAGAGAAATTGTCCTCGCGTGGCACAAACCCAACGCTGGTGGGCCCCAAGACAATCTATATTAATAAATTCAGGTCAGCTTTTACCAAAAATTTTTAAAGGATTGGGTAAAAGGTGTTCTGGGCATTGGGTATTGATTTTCAGCACATCCCAGACCAGGGATGATGCTCTGGAGGGTGGGAAAACCAGCTTCTGCCAGGAACGCAGAACAAACCAAGGATGGATCAGTGCCTCAGTCTGCTCGTTCCCCGGCAAAACCACAAATGATGTCATTAATACAGGAGGAAAATAAAAACACTGCCAGACAACAAGGCTTCATTGGAAACGATCTCGGCATCCCTCCGATGGTGCGTTTTGCCATGACCACAAGCAGCGCCGGCGACCCAGTCTGCCCGGGGCTGCTGGAGCCGCCAGTGCTGCAGGACTCAGTGCATTTTACTAACAACAGTGGAGAACGTGAAATCCTTGGGGATGAAACCTTCGGGTGACACAAAGATGTGAGCTGTGAGCGATATAAAGGACAGGGAGGTGACAAAACAGCTGCCGCTTTCACGGAAGTGGACACAGGAGATGGATCTGGTTTGACATGAAGCCAAATCCTAGGCTCGTATTAAAAACCTGGCTTAGGTAGGGGGTGGGAGAGCTGTCCTGGGAAGCAGTGCCCTGAGATGGGGATTTTGATGGGCATTGGGTGTGATGGACAGGACACGAGTCCCACAGTCCCCTTGTCCTACGGCGATGGTAAAAGATCCCACGCTGTCACAGCCGTGTCCGAGGGTGCTGCACTCCTGGGATAAGGAGCAGGAGCTGGAAACCCCGAGCCCGGGTGCAAGCCCTGGGTGCTGAGCGTGTCCTCCCTGGGTGCTCAGTGTCCCGATCATCCCGCTCATCTCAGGCCATGCCGGGGAGGCGCAGGGCAGGGCAGCAAAGACACCTGTGATGCTTTGTGAAAGACGTTGTCCGCCATGTAACTGGACCCTCCTTCTCCACGCGCCTGTCTTCTGCCTGGAAGAGCGTCTCCCCCACCTTGGTCCCACAAGCGCTGCCTTCAGGCCAGCTGCTCGAGGGTCAACCCCTTCCCATCTCTAGGAGAGATGCTCCATGGAGCTGCAGGCACCTTGGGCAAAGCGACCTCAATGTCCTGCCCCTCCCACCTCCTTCTCCCCACAGCACCAGGACCCCAGGATGCCACCCCAAGCCCCCCATCCCTCTCCATGCAGGCACCACTGACATTTCCCCTCGCTCTTGAGGCACATCCATGCAAGAGAGGAGGACCTCCCTGATAAAAGAAGAACGTGCAGGAACGTCACCGGGAGTCCCAGCACAGCTGATTGGGACCGTGCTGGTGAGACACGAGGGACAGTGACAGGCTGGTGGATGGGGGGACGCAGCCAGAGGAGGAAGGAAGCGGCAGAAGCCCACCTCCCTCTGCCAGGCTGAACGGCAGCTCCTGTAGCATGACCTCCGTGCCAAGCCCAGGCAACTCAGAGCTGAAACACCCGCCAGCGTTTTCCAAATGAGGAACGACACGGGCGGGCGTCGAATCCAGATCCACCACCTCCAGCATCTCAGAGATCCCATAGGCAGCAAAAGCAGAAGACAGAGCCAGAAGACAACTTCCAGGGCAAACGGCAGCACTAGTGGGTCGGCTTCCAGCACTGCAGAATCCAGCTGCCAAATTTCAGGGGGCACAGGCGGTTGGCACGAAGGCTTCGCACCCTCCTCCTCCTCCCTGATGGGGTAGCGACAGGAACCGAAGCAGAGGACTGGGACAACCTGTAACCAGTGACAGCACCAAGCAGCTGAACCAGCAGCCCTGCTCTGCTCCCCACTGTGGCCCTGGGGAGGAGGAGGGATGCCAGCAGTGCTCGGGGGTTGCTCTGTCCCCTCCAGAGCAGGGTGGGCTCCGAGGAATGAGGAGGAGCACTTAGACCACAACAAGGAAGAGCCTGAAGCAACATGGCAGGAAAGGCTCACAGCCCAGTGAACACGAATGCGTAATGAGCACAGACATGGCAATGCGGGGAAATGCTGAATATGAAGGATTAAAGAAAAAGGAGAAATTAATCTTATTCATAAGGCAGAGCGGGTTTTTAGCTCATGCACACAGCTGCTGGAGGGGCGGGTCAGCTTTTGCAGGGTGGCTGCTGCTTTGATACAAATCAGGAGAGTGGGACGTTAAGGCTGGGCACTTCCCAGCGATGCCAAGAGCTGGAAGGGCACGCTCCCATGAGCAGAAAGCCTCTGAGCAGGAACAGAGCCCACCTCTTACCCCGAGTCTCCCGCTTCCCCAAGCACACGCTCGGCAGGGCTCAGGCTCTCTGGCTGTTGGGCGCCATCCCCCTCGTCCCCCCCAAGTTTCTTGCCTTTCTCCTGCGAGGCCAGCACCACGATGTGTCTGACCCTATCCAGCCCAAAAACCTCAAGGCGCATTTTGGGGAGGGAGACGCTCCCAAAGCCAGGATGGAGCTACCTCCCACCTGCCAAGACGGATGGAGTGGGGTTAGCCGCTGCTGGCGAGCTCCCCTCGCCTGTCCTGGGATCTGGTGCTCATGGGAGATGTGGAGATCCCAGCGCTTGGTTGAACCCCATCCCGTCAAGCTCCATCTCCCACCCACCCTTGTCCACAGTGCATGACTTCCCAGGAAGCACAGGGCTGTTGATGAGAGCTCAGTGAAAACACATCTCTTTTAATGCTTTTGGAATACAATGGATAAAGCAATACCTAACAGTGCTCTGGAATCCGTCTTGCACCTGCTTTCCGGAGTCGAGGACCATCCCGGCAACCTTTGGTGACAGTCGGGTGCTGCGTGGGAACATGTTGCTGCTCCCCACCGGCTCACCCCATTGTTTTCTGCTTCATTAACCCCTTCTTTGCTCCCTGATGGATCTTTGCATCCAGCTTCCCTGTAAAGAGGGGATTAAAAAAAAAAAAAAAAACAAAAACAAAACACAACAAACCCTCATCACTCTTTAATTTTAAATGCTATTTGCAATGCAAATCAGCTGGAGGCAGCGAGGTCTCCTAGTTAGTGTGTTCCTGTCACATTCAATTATCGTGCTTGAGGAGCCAGGCGTTTCCAGCCACCGTGGCTTCCCTCCGCAGGCGCGACACCAGGGAGCCAGGGGCAAGCATGTCCAACGCGGCAAAGAGACGCTGGAGAGGGGGAAATTCAGTGAGGAGGAGAGTAAATTAACATCCAGCGCTTGCCCACCACTATGGGGCGGGGAAATGATCCCTTCACTTGCCCGCAGGATGCGTGTCAACACATTTGAAGGCGATGGGGGACCATCAAGCACCATGTTGGGGACTGTTTCACCACAGCATGGCAGAAAGCTGGGCTTGGGGACAATAAACCCTCAGCCTGGGGACGATGACGCAATGGGGCACACAATGTGATGGGGACCAACCACCCTGTGCTGCCAAGGGCCAGGTTGGTGGCCTCCAAGGCCACCAGCTGGGAGGGCCACACTGCCTTTGCCACCAGGCAGCACCTCGGGGACTCCAGGCACCCATGGCCGGCTGCTCCGGTGGGACCTGGACCAAAAGCTGCCTCCCCTTGTCCTTCACAGCCCTCGGTGGCTTTGCTGCCAGCTCCGCTCTCCCACCTGGGAGAGGAGCAGGACAAAGAATATAGGATTTGGGCAACTCCTGCAGAAGAAGCCAAAAGCCAGGCATGGCAAGCAAGCCGGGAGGCTGAGGCACTGCCTCAGAGGAGTGTCCCTGTCCCCCTCTCCCTGCCCATAAAAAAACAAGGATGCTCCTGCTCTCGCAGGCAAAGGGCCCTCCTCCAAAAGGGAGAGGAAGGAAGGGAAGGTGACCTTAAGTGAGGCAGCACAGCAAAGAGCTGGCCTCCTGGAGAGGCTTTGCCGTCAACCAGCGCCAGTCACCTCCTAATGCCACATCTCCCTGGGAACTCACCTCCCTGCTCCTGCTCCCCTGCGTCTTCCCATCCTCCAAATGTCAGCCTCGTCCCGTCTCTCTCTGTAGCTGGGAGCAGGGATGGGGCTCCAATGCATTGCAGAAGCCAGCAGCAAAAATTGCAGACCCTGTTCTGAGCTGGGGAGGGCGGCCCCTGTCCCTAGGGAGCATCCCCTGTGTCCCTCGGGAGGGACACAGGGATCCACTGTGGTCACATCATCAGGAGAGGAGGCAAAGGGATCAAAGTTTGATCCCAAGGAGATGGACAGACAGAGCCTGTCCCAGTGAAAACCCAGTGAGGTGGATGGAGCCAGAGCTGGTAGCACTTCAGCACTTCATCTGGGTCCCTCAGCATTGTCCCTCCGGGGAATCAAGCCCAGTGTCACCCCGTGGGTGAAGCACAGCCCACGCGGCCCCTGGGAGAGCCGCGTTGCTCCAACCCAGCTGCAGCACACAGCACATCTCATCCCCGGTGGGGACAAGGTCCACCAGGCTCCAAACCAGTCCCACTTTGGCCACTGCTCCAAAAACTGCTGGTAAATGCCCACGTGCCATGAGAAGCAGGCGCTTGTCCAGAGAAAATGGCTCCAAACCAGCCAGAGACCATCACCTTCTCTTCAAACCAAGAAAACTTCTCAATTTCAGCTCAACAAAGGGTCCGACAACACTTTTCCCAGGAGAGGCAGGTTACAAAACTGCTTTGCTCAGGATGTCCCACCAGCACAACGCAGCCTCCCTGACACCCATCCCCCTCCTTCAGCCCGAGTTTTGGGCCAGCCTTGCTGCTGTCTGAGCTTGAGAAGGAAGTTCAATGCACCAAAACCATAACACACGCAAAAAAAAAAAAAAAAACCAAAAAACCAAACGTGAGCAAGCATTTGCAAGTCACTGTGCCATAGATCCGCAAACTGAAACATGACTCCAGTCAGGTCGAAATTGGGAGCAGGAACCAGACACTGCCAATGTCTTGGTGCAGCAGTTGCCAACCTGCAGCCCACGGGACACAAAAGGCTGTCTGCAAAAGTCTTCCACCATCACAAATGAGTAAATTAAAACTGAGGCCAAGCGAAAGGGCAAAACAGGGCATTTCTTGGAGCATCTGTTTTCAGACAGTGTTCTCACTCTGAGCCCACGGAGTTTGGAAGATGGTCCCCTACAAGGTCTGGGAGATCCACCATCCCCTCTGCCACCCTATGTGGGAGAAGACTTTCCCCACCTGCCTAAGGATGGGGAAGAAGTTCCCTCCTTGCAATGGCTGGAAACAGCAACGGGCACCCAACAAGGCTGAGCCAGCACAGCCAGACTGTCCGGAAGCAGCGTGTCAGACTGCCGTGTCGCCAAGCTGTGGGGTTTTTGGCAGGAGAAAGGCAGCAAGTTCACACTCGCTCCATGCTCTGGTCCCCCACCACCACCACCGTGTCACCTCCAGGGCTGTAAGCTTCGTATTTAACACGCCTGCCTGCTCCTCCTGGACCCCAAAAGCGATCAGGAGGCTCCTCTGCTCTACCAGCTGGCAAACAAAGCATCAGCTAGGTAACCTTTAGGAAAAGGCTAAAAATAAGGCCACAGCCCCAGGGTCCCCTTCTCTTTCCACTCAATGATTTAAGGACTCTCGTCTCACATTGCGACGTGTCCCTTTGCCTGCTTCTCCACGCTCTTCCAGCCACTGGCTGTTGAAGGGAGGTTTCTCAGCAATGCTCGAGGGAGGCTTCAGGGAAGCTCTGCCCTGATTCAAGGAAATCTCCCATGAGAACCACCACCGAGCTTTGTCCGCACGCACTAAAACTAAGCAGGGATGTGTTTGGGGAAAGCCATGCTCCCAGATGCAATACCAACACAGTGCCCGTCCCTTCCACACAAACAATAACCCTGGCAGCAAAAGTCAAACTATGTTACTTTTTTTTTCCCGTCCCCAGGCTGCTAGAAACAACTAATTTGCAACGGAGAAGCATTCAGATGTCATCGTGGCGAGGTCCATGCTGTTATCTGGCAAGGAAAACCGCTCTGGCTTGGCTTCCCAACAAGACAAACTGGCATTTTGTCATGGCTGGAGCCAGGCTTCAAGGAGACCAGGGCAGCCAGCAAGCTCAGGTGGGGACGTGAGCCGGCACCTTCCCCCTGCTCTGCTTCCAGCCTGGAGAATTAAGCTTTTGACTGCCTCGGATGTAATGCCAACTCCTATTAAAACAGTGCCTTACCCCAGTGAAAGGTCAAAGGCTTCCCTGCTCCTTCCCTAGGCTGTCACAAATATCACCCAGACAGATGACGTCCCCTCCGGGAAGGGAACGTACAACTCCACAGTCTCCCCCGCCGCTGCTCTCGTGACAGCTCCTGTCGGGATGGAGGGCAGGAAAGGCAGGGCCAGCAGCAGGAGCGGGCAGCGCAGGCAGCCGCCAGCACAGCCGGCTTCCTTCCAGGCTGTTAGACTGATCCTTCTCCAAGCAGGAAAGTGTCACAACACAAAGGAGATGATGTGACAGATGGGGAGGGGACCGGCAGCACCTGCACCCGGCAAGGCAGACGTGCAGAAGCCGGCCGCCCTGCGCTCACACCGCGTGGCAGCTTCCCCTTCAGCTGCCGGTGGCAGCTCTCCTCCTAACCACGGGCCGGGTGGAGGCAGGTGTGGCAGTGAAGGGCCATGAGAGAGCCTGTATGAGAGCAAGGAGAGGTTAAAACAAGAAAAAAAAAAAAAAAATGAAGAGGATGCAGCAGCTGCTCCAGCACGCAACAGCGGCGAGGCTGTTCTACTGCAGCAAAGACATCTGCATCCTAAGTAACTCGGCGCAACCCTGCCTGCTCACCGGAGCGCTAGGAAAGACCTGACCCTGAGGGAGGACGGTGCTGCTAGCAAGATCCGAGCGCTGCAGCTCACCAGGCATCGTTTGTCGCCATCGGCTGAACGCACCTCCCAGATGTTGCTACAAAAGGCAGCGAAGAAACCAAATCATTTTGCCCTGCTCAATACCCTGGCAGGGCAGGAATACCCCCAGCACCCAGGGAGAGACTGAAGCCGTAGGAGAACGGTGCTTCTCTGAGCAAAGGGGGGCGGGGGACGGGACGACGACTCAAAAGCAACAAAAATAACCCTACGCTGTGCTTCAAAAGCCCTTATTAACCGGTCCTGAGAAATCCTGCTGCTCCTGCACCGCTAGGTAACTACTCACAGAGAATCACTCTGCAAACGAGAAAGAAAACCCAGTCATCAGCTCTGCTAAACAAACAGCCAAGACTATTTCTGCTTATGCTGCTTTTAGCCCGTCAAATTAATTTTTCACATCCCCTGAAAGCGTGTACAGTGCCTTCCCCAGGCTGTGTGGTGGGGAGGCTGCTAATAAGGACGGAGCTGACTGCAGGCTCCCCAGCTGCTGCATCCCTCCTCCATCCTTTTTACAGCAGCGGGCAGGAATAACTGGCAGCCTGCGGAGGGGCTGGTGGCTCATAAAAGGGACTAACGACGCTGGCAAGCGGAGCGCGGACAGATGCTGCGGCGCTTCCCTGCAAGTTCTGCCAGGACATCCCATCCTGCCGGCCTGCGGATGGAGAACATCCATCTGGCCCTGCAGCTCTTGCTGCTTCAAGCCTTCGCCATCCTCATGGGCGAGAGGGTAATTTTGAACCACAGGCAAGGAGCTAGCGCGGATCTGCCTGAGCATCGCCGCGCTGGCTCGTATCCCGACCCAGGCTGATGCCAGAAGCGGATCAGCTGCAGACACAAGCGCTCTTTGACTCCCGAGTGTTTGCAGAGGCAGGAAGAGGCATGTATTTGGAAGGAAGCAACATCTGGGGAAAGGGGAACTGAAGACAAAAAAAATATTACAGATGTATTCGAGTCATTAAACAAACACCTACAGATCAAAGAGCACAGGGCAAAGGTTGCGAACTCATATGGCAAAGGCAAGCAGAGGTGGTGAGGAGAGCAGGCACGAAAGGCCAAGGGGGGCATCTGTAGAAACTTTACTACTTACAGATTTTGGGTTTTCCTTTGATGGGAAACTTCACAACCATCTCCTGGGGATTAGTGCAGATAAAGACAAATGGAGATCCGGACTCCTGGCTCAGATCTGGATACTGGGAAACACAGACACACACACACAAAACAGAGTCAGACCGACTGCCGTGGGTGTGAAAAGAGCTTGGCGGTCAGAAGCAGAGAAATTGTTATTTAAGAGATGGGTTCTACCTAGGCTGCAGCAGCTCAGACTAAACCAGTTCAAGAACTTTTAATGAAAACAACCAAACAAACAATTGCAGTTTTGGGTCTTAATCAGTGAGCCCCTCGCTAAACCTCTTCTCATCATGCCTCTCCCAGAGCTTGCTCCTTTTTCAGATCTGCTCACGGAGCCGCTTCCCTGTGTGCTCCCTAAGACTTTTCAGCCCCCTTTAGCACCGACCTGTGTTTCGCCACCTAAAAGGTGTGGTTTCACACTTGGCTTAAGCTGATCTAAAGCGTGGGGTGTCGACAGAAAGGCAGTCAGGGGCCCTGCCCTCACAAGCTTGCCTGCTCACTGCCTGCTTAGTGCTGGGACAAGCGTGGGACCCATTTTCAGGCCAATACATTCCTGGATTCAGCTGACCGGGGATGCGGGTACCCCTGCTAAACCCCAGCTGGTCACAGGCAGCACACCAGCACCTCAACCAAAACAGCTCGGCAAACCCAATGAGACGATGGCCACTAGAAGGGTAGCCACCTCTTCTACTGAAGCAGTTTCCCAGCTACGGATACATCCCCACCTCTTCCCCAAAAAACTCAGTCCAAACACAAGCCGCTTTGAGATTTGGAGAGCATGCACCATCCTGCTGTGGGACAGGCAGCCCTTGAGATTTGTCTGCATCCAAAGGGTGAGCAATAGAAAAAAACACTTGCAGCACGCCAAGTCAATGGCTCAGAGACGCCGGCCATCTCTGTGCAGGGCTGGCTCCACGCACGGAGTCTACGGAAAGATTTCACTGTGATGAAGACATGAGGGAATTTTATAGGAAGAGTATAAACAGATTGTTTCTCTCGTTAACCACAGGGGGAAAAAGGAGAAAAAAAAACCACTCAGCAAGGGAAGTGCACCGAAGTCCTGTCTGAATGCAGCTCAGCCTCACTGGTGTTCAGAAGTGAAATGCAAAACAGTAGTAAAAAATGTATATACCAACCATCACTTCAGATTCTCCATTAGAAGCAGACTTTGCGCTGACAGGTGCAGAGGTGAGGGCATGCCACGAAGGTGCTCCAGCCCAGGAAACCCTGTTCAAACTGACTGCGGAAGTGGTTTTCCTTCCATGGGAAAACTGCCGCCTTGTTTTGTTTTTTTTTCCTCCCCTGCCTTCCTCGAGCAGATCCGTCAAGGCTGCTGTAGGGGACAGGATGCCAGACCAGATGGAGCAGCGTGTCCTGGCAAATCCCCCATTTGTTACTAACAAATGACTCTTAGACTGAGTGTTTGAAAAGCTCTCACCGACCTGCCAAGATGAGTTTGGATTTGCCCTGGAACAGCTGGGCACGGAGAGGGAAGCAGGGAGCAACCCGCTCTCCCTGTGCTGTAGCAGGGTTTGGCAGCACTGCCAGCGGTTAGGGGAGATTTACAGAAGCCCAACACCGGGATTGGATCAACCGGGGAAAGCATTCCCAGCCCCTCTCATTTTACAACAGCATGTAAGAGCCATTCATCGAGCAAGAGAGAGACGTACATGTACTTAGCTGCTCTGTACAACACCTGCACCAGGGGAGAAAGAGCTATGCTGATCTGCATTGCACACGGATGCCCTGCTGTACCGATCTGGGGTTGGACAGGTTTCTTCCTCTTTTTTTTTTTTTTTTTTGGCTGAGCCACTTTGCTTGACTTGCTTCCACCGCTCCATGCTGATGCCAAGGATTTTCATTTCCCATCTGCAGGGAAGGAGGATCTTGGAAGGTTAGAAAGAGCCAATGTGAGTATCCCTGGCCAACGCCTGGTGAGTGTGAAATGCTGGCATCGCTTTATTGCTCTCAGCATCATGCCGGTGACTGGTGGTCCCTCCATAGCCAGAGGACCTGACGTACCCAGCAGCTCCCACGCTAGCACAGCCTCCAAAGGTCACACCATAAAGCGGTGGGCCATAAGCCCTCAACCAAACCTGGTCACAGAAGTGGTCCATCCCTGCTCTACTACACACGGTTCTGCCAGTGGCTTCGTCAGCCAGGTTGTGTGTCCGGGACCCGTGTGCTGTAGAGGTCTTGCTGCCTGGAGTACAGCTGCTTCCCAAATCTCCTCAGCCACCATCTCCTTGGTGGACCTGGACATCACCATGTCCCCCCTCACACGCCTAACAGCCCCCCCTGCAGGGAATATCCCTGTAACAGGTACTCTGGCATCAGCAGTGAAAGCAACAGCCACATCGGTTTCTCCACTGACAGCTTTCATCTGAAACCAGGATCAAACCTTCAGCTCCAAAAGCTTCCAGCTCAATCCGATCCCAAGGCCAAGGCGAATGCCACAGCTGCAACTTGGGTTTACGCTTCCACGCCGCCGCCTTTCATCTTCGCTCCCAGGGTACATTTCTGTACATGTGCCAAAACCGTTCGTGTCCTGCATTTTAAAAGCCTCAGTCCTTCCTCTGGCATCTCACTCCCAGGAGGCAGGGAAGAAGCCCCTCGTTGAGCCGCTACATTTAAGGCTTCCTATTGTACCTACCCCGGAAACCTCTTATCCCATCCTGGCAAACAACAAAAGCAGAATATTCCTGCCTGCCGGAGCTGAGAAAAAGCTGTAACCCTTTCCTCTGCTTAGAGACAAGATGCTCCCAGGTGAAGGTGAGGCTGAGCTCCCACAAGATGCTGAGCCCTCACAAGATGCTGAGCCAACTTAATGGCCAGGCTCCCCTCTTCCCCGGTCTCTTCCGCAAATCAATTCAACTCATTCATCCTGCAGAAATTTAGGGAGCTTTTGGGTAAAGTCAGTTTTCTGCCAGGGTAATGGGCTGAACTGCTCAAAGAAGGGTCCGGTGAAGCGGGTGAATGGCAGGAGCGGGGCCAGGGGCTGTTAGGAACCAAAACTCCTCTTAGAGAGCAGCAAGAATTTAGATGTGCCCGCTGCATTTCTTGAAACCACTGCCTGCAAACTGAACAGAGAAACAGCCACATATGCTTTTGCCACATGACACATCACTACGACCAAGAGCACAGCCTCTCCTCAGCACACCTGTAACTAGCTGCCAATATTTTAACATGTTTAGAAACCACCTCCATGGACCTCATTCTCTAGAGGTCACTGGAGCTGTTATAGTATTTCCTACCCAAAATCACTCCCTATTGCTATTTAGTCCCCTAAACAGCGCTTGCTCTTGATGTCACACATCATCACCATGAGCAATGTTGCCTGTAGACACTTACTGACTGTACCTACACTATCTCGTCTGGTCGTCAACAGGATCCAGACAGACAGCGTGGCTGAATGGCGGCACTCCTCCACCTCTGCGGCTCATTCTGCAGCTTAGCTCAGCACAAGGACATCAGTACCCACCTGCTCTGCACCGAAGATGCCTCTCCCATTGGCAACTACTCAGCTGACTTATGCTCTCAGCGGAGCTGCTGCCACCAAGACACCAAACACATTTGGCTCCGTTACATTTTCCAAAGCTGCCCAAATGTCTAACGAATAAAAACCCTCACTTCTCAATGTTTCTGCTGTAAGAGGTCAGTCGAGTCACTCTACAATCTGCAACACAGTAAGTTTAGGAGACAGAGAAAAAATTTACTCCCAACTACTACACCCCTCAGACAGCGGCCACTGCCCATCAGCACTTCAGCAAACCTGAGACTTGAAGTAAAAGCCCAAAGGCCACACCTAGTGCACAAGAGAGAGAAGGCAGAGCATATCCCCAGCAAAGAGAATCTGCAACAGCAGGTTTTTTTAAAATAAAAGGTCAACTTAGAGGGAAACCACACTCCCTCTCTACCGGAGACCAGGAATCAAACCCAGCCAGGAGTCTGATGGGGGATGTTCCTTCTTAATTACAAGTGCAGTCCATTATAATCTTGAAGGTGTAAATAAGACAGGTGCCAGTACTCCAGGCTTTGACATTGCCTCTACCGGGAAGCAACTCAGCATTTAGGAGAAGGTGGCTAAAAAGGCCCTCTACAACAAATACAGTCCAGAGGCCAGGTTGTCCCTCAAAAAGGAGAAAGCCCACCCTTCTCCAATCCTGCAGATGAGCAGGAAAGCTCAAAAGAGAGGGGTTATGCAATGTAACTATGGTGTAAAAAAAAAAAAAAAAAGATTCAGCCTCCTTTCAGACCTTCTGCCACCTCATCGCGGGCTTGCGACAAGGCAGTTGGGAGGACGGTGGGCTCCGTGGGCTGCTAACAGCCGGCACAGCTTACCAACTGCTGCTCCAGCCCACTGCTTCACACAGTTGAAAACCCCACATACATTTTCCATACACTGGCGTCCACGCAACCACCACCCCCCTTGCTCATCCCATCTCTGCGACTGCATCAGTCGGGCTTCAATTTGCTGCTAACAGGTTTGTAAGAACCTAGCTGTGAAGAGATTAGCGGGGGGCGGGGGGGAAGAAGATCTCAAGGCAGCTTAACACACGCAGAAAGAGCTTGAGGTTAAATGTAGCATCTGAGTACAAGCTGGAAAAGGGAGCTGAGCACTAGGTTCCTCTGAAAACCGGCCACCAGATTCACCCTCTCGCTGGAGCCAGCACTTTGAACATACATTAAGTGGCTATCAGATGTCCCCGACAGCCACCCCAATCAAGCTGCAAGCAGGGATAATTGCTAATGAATGTTCCCTACACTTTGTTTTCGCCATCCCTCGTCTCCCATCACCAGCTCTTCACCACCAGAAATAGCAGCAGGACTGCCAGCCTCCCCACTCCACAGCCCACAGCAAAAGAGCAAAGGAGGGGACAAGCCAGCTCGGAGCCAGCAGAGACACGAACCCACCTTCTCTGACATTTGAGGAAAAAAAATCCTGCTAATTCTTTTCCCCCCCACCAATCTGTTAAAGTAAATATTATTTTTCCTGATTTGGGTAAAGCCTGCAGTGGGATGCAGGGGCCACACAGGCTTGCCCTGCATTGCTGGTAACAAT